CTAATTAAATGCAGTCGTTTTTAATGTTGCTGTGCCTTTTCTGCTATGGAATGCCAAAATATCTCCTGTTAAAAAGATCTGTTGTGTCTGGCGTGTGGTTTAAAGTTGTTCTTCACATTGTCCCACTATTCAGTACACAACAGAAATGGAGGAGCTACTTGCAGCTAGAAAAATGACAAGTGTTTGCCTTTACTACAGATAGTGGAGACAGAGAAAACCAATGGAGAGAAAGAGGTGTATGACACACATAATCAAAGAGATAAAAAAAATTTTTTGTGTCTCTCAGACATTTAATATATTTAACCTCAATGAAAAGTAAAGTTCCTGTGCTGCCCGGAGAAAAGTGGCTCAGTCTTGTGGATGTGGTGCTTCTAGAAGTTGAAGTATGTTTTGAACTTGTGTGACAGAGATGCCTGCTTTCATGTATTCAGGGCACGTTGGATGAAGGCATACACTTGCGGCCCACGAATTCCAAAGGCTTAGCTTCTGCGCGATGACACCCTGAAACAGTTCATTGATGTATAACACTCAATGAAATATTGAAATAAGCAAAGAGGAGATTCTGCCTTTGGTCTGATTTTCCTTTCCTCCCCTCTCTATAGTCTAACTACTGTCCATTTGTGGGAGAAGGGGTGGGTGGGTGTCTCTGAGCGCTAATCTGTTGGATGCAGCTAATTAATTTTTGGTTCCTCCTATAGGCCTACTAAACAAGAGAACAGTGTTTGCACAAGATTAAGAGATAGAGTGTTTGTTAGAATGGTGTATATTATCAGTGAGGCCTCATCACATGCACCTGTGTTAATCATTACAATGAAGAGTCTTGTGGGCTCAGCGGCCTGGTGAGGAGGAGAGAAGTGGGTCTTTCACAGGTAAAAATATAGTATAATGTGGCTCAGTAGAAACAGGGAAATTACATGTACTATAGTTTAGATATTCGCCATTATTGTTGTATTATATTGCTGGTAATTGTGAATTACACACAGAGAAAGCCTTTTATGAATTAGTTAACTGACATTGCTGAATTCATGCGGCCAGGGTTTAATGTGAAATTAGTAAATGATATTGTTACTTTTTTCTTTTGCGATGCACTGTAGCTGTTTTTGATATACCGTGTAGCCTGTGGTGAGAATACTGGCAGAATGGAGAGAAATTGGCTCCGTTCACCATGAAGTCATTAAATTTGTAAGCTATTTGTGATCAAAAGGTGTGTTTGAGGCCATTAACTATGGAGTTTGATCATGGCTTACATGCGGTGTCAAATGTCAGTTGTTCCTGCTATTTCCCCCAATTTCAGTTGAAAGTAAGTATTAAGCCAGAAGAGAATATCAAAAGCTTACTATGTAAATGTTGTTAAATACCACTACTGAAGTTTGTTATATACTATATTGTTTCTGACTCACATTTGATGCCCAGAATCCTCACTTTGCTTCAGCTCAGTGGGATTACAGTGGGGTATGTCCGTCAGTTCTTTGGCTCAGACCACACGCCCTGATGTTGTAACTTTAATGTACTAAACCATGTGGAAATATTTTGAGTTTGAAGGTTCATTCTTGACCTTAGAAACAGCAGCTTGAAAAAAAATCCTGACATAATGTCTGTCTTTAATTATTTACTTGTTTTACGGAGCTTTCAACCACATTTCTTCGCCTACCTTCAACTGAATTTTGGGGGGAATAGCAGGAACGACTGACATGACATCTTGATGACAACTGAGGCCCTCCATCCACTGAAGAAGGCCACGAGGTGTGGTTCAAAATTTCAGAAACCAAAAGGAAGTTGGACAATTTGTTGAGGATTTCTTTTTCAACATGGAAGCACATTTTGAGGTGTAAAATGTTTTATTTTTTTGCAGCAGTAATAGTTTCTTTCTCTACATATTTCCATTGCCGAAATAACGTTTATTGTAGGTCAAGGGAATGATTGAAATGAAATGTTTTCTAACCGTAGCTTGCAGTGGTTGGCACCATACCACATGAAACAACAATGAGAACTATCCTTTTACGTTGAGGCTTAAAATGGTTCCATTTAATATTGAGTGGCCAAATTGTCTGTTTGAGCTCTAGGACAGCATTATTAATGACCATTAGTCATTTAGGGGCGATTATACTTGTAATATGTCACCCCTTTACACTTTACCATCATGCTGTGTGTGGGGACATTGCCATTAGGTTGATGCATAATCCACTATGAAAACATTTTCATTTGTCTCATAAGGAGATTTTTATTAATGGCTGGGGACTATTTAATCCAAGGAGTTTTGAAAGCAAGTTTAAAGTACATTACCGCTAAATTTCAACATTTAAATGCGTTATTACTTTCACCAAGCATAAATTTACTGACTATATTTGTTATTTTTGCTTTAACATTCGCAAAAAAGATTTTTACTGAGTGCATTGTCCTAAACTCTCAAAACAAACAAAAGAATTTAAGCATAAATGTCCTAATGGACAGCCTCTTTGGTACTGACTATGTGAGCTTTAACCAACTAGGTATTAACTCGACCCAAAGCATAGTAATAATGTGTTTTTTAACATATGCTGAGATCTCGTAATCTTCTTATGGGTTTGAGGTTTTTTTTCTGTGCCCCTGAATAGCTCAACAAAATATGCTTCAGTAATGGATGGTTGTATCCTCATCCATCGCCCTCCTCCCACCTACTATAACTTGAAATAGGCCATCAAGTGGCTAATGAACTGATAAGCCTTCTGTGTCCTGTGGGGCTTATGAACATCATAAGCCAAATGTTTAGGCATATTTGGTGAGACAGTTTTTTTTAAAGAGCACTTATGTGGGAAAGAAATAAAGTCCTTACAGTTGGAACAGTATAAGAATGTGTTTTCATGTGTTTTCTACAGGAGGTAATAAATCACTGCAGGTAATGAAGGAACCGGTGAAGTATTTTGAGTGTTTTTAAGGTTATCTTACAGACTCAGCGACGCTTACTTGTGTGGAAAGAATGTGTGGCCCTTTGCTTCATCAGACCTCCATCTAGTCAAGCTGCTATGTATCATTATCAGTTTTGGATCTCTGTAAATCCATGGATTTGTGTGAGCAGTCTGAGAAATTAAAATAACATGCTTTTTACTGCGCTTACTTCAAATCTCTTTAGACTTCATTTTTTAAAACATCTAAATCTGTTATTATGTAGGCTATACAAAACCCTTTTAATTTAATCTTTGACAAGATTATCAAATTCACTGATGATGTCAGAAACTTAAATAATTTCAGAAAATGTCGACTAAGCCTGGATAAGCACTTTCAAGGGGATACTGTTGGATTAGCTTAAAAATATATTATTTATTTTTGTTTGTTTTTTATTAGTTGTTGGCACATTTTCCACATCATTATGTTATTGCCTTTATTTTTATTGTCATTACAATGTCTTGCAATAAATACACATACATATACTGAATATCAAGCAGCTATCAAACAAGTTGTAAGATCTAAAAGCAATGTGGTGATTATTTTTAATTTAGAGCAATAAATTAATTTCTACAATTTAAATAAACTGTTCCACATTTCTGGGCAGTTTTAATAATCTCTTTTTCTTTTTCTCAGTAATAGACTAGCTTTCTTTGCCTTTTCATCATCAATAGTTAACGCCTTATGTTCATTTAAAGTTCCCCTGCAAGATTGTATTTTGACTTGGATTAGTTGGTTTTGGGGGAAAACACCTTCAGACTTTTACAGGGAAAACCTTGAGGGAGTCATGCTCTCGTTATCGCTACATCCTAACTATACCAGCCTGTTTTTTTTGTGAGATTTGTAAATAAGATCTCTTCTTCAATCTGCTCTCATATCATTTTCATAACTGATTATCGGACCACGTACTCGGGGAATAATCCCCCACTCCCCCTGCAGGCGTTGCGGCCTTAACCACCAGCTTTGCAACAGGCCGATGTTTGCGGAGGATCAGTTTGTGACCGACCGGACAGCAACCAGACCAGGGGACAAGGGGCGCTGCGCAGCCCGCTGTTAGACAAAAACCAAGAGGGATTAACGCAGCGTCTGTTGAGCCCATATGCGCCTTAGCACTGCTTTGCTCTTGATTAAAACTCATTGTACGTATGAAGTATTGTGGAGGCCGGATGTCTAATCCTCCTCATGACTTGTGCACTTGGAAGACACGAGGCCCCAAGGTTACAATAACAAGCTGGGTGAAGCCATTGTGTGTCAGTTGGTATTGGCTATCAGGGACCATTGATTAGGGTGAAATGTTGTTTAGAGTGGACATTTAAAATGACAGGGACTGTGGCCCTTTGTTTTTAAACCAGTCGCCTATAAGTAAGAGGGACCTTAAACATATTAACTATTGTTTAATCAGCATTTTACATTGAGCTTAACATTACTTTTAATTTGTGATTACACTAATACTGAGAGGCACGTGTTTGTATGAGCCATTGTTCTTTTTCTTGGAGGTAGGCTATTCGAAGCATTAATGGCATTTTCAATAATGATGTTTTTCAGTCGGGCATGTTCATTCAGATAAAGATAGGCCTAAGTGTATTGAGGAGGCAGATCCAGCTCTTCCCGTCTTCAAAGTGTTCTCATGCTTCTCCCTCGCTTCAGTCACTTGGTGCGCCTCTCTCAGTCGTTAGAAATAGGAGGGGGGTTTTTTTCACAGCTGACATTTGAAAGTGACCTTTTTCCGCTTTTGCTGCAGCAGTCTGGCTGGAGGAGTTGTTGACACTCAAGAGGAGACGCGTCTCATGAATATTCAGCTTTCTGTCACCCTAAGCTATTGTTTCCAAGTTCAATTGTTGCATTGTTTACCGTCATAACGATGTATATGCGTGTTGCTAAACTTGGCGTTACATTGGTGCAGCAGTGTTATAATTGATTCTTGAACATTATAACGCTAACATCGGTCTGTGTGAGAAATTAAACGAACACAGGCACCGGCAGGACCCGGATATAAACAGCTACTTCTATTTCACCCTTGAATAAGTTATGGATATGGCCTATTGCATGATTACGTCTTTCACACACACACACACACACACACACACACACACACACACACACACACACACACACACCTATTTTCTGTCCACGCAGGAGTGGAATCAAAGTCGCTCTTCTCTTTAACGCTTCGATTATTTCAAGCAACGCTTTTAATTAGTGTGCTCCTTTAGCGGAGACTCCAATGAAAGAGAGATTATTGGCAATGTCAAGGATCCTAATTGAATGTTGGACTTCTAACAATTAGCCCGCTGCAGAGCCATGTCGACTCATTACAGATCTCATAGCCGCTCTGACTTTATTGTCTCGTGCCGTCCAAGCTGACAGCAGCGTTGGACTTGAAAAAAAAAAAGTAAATGCAAACAAACCTTCTGACTCCTCAAATGTAGTTTAAGAAGTTGTAGCCGCGCTTGTGCACTTCAATGGAGTTAAGGAACAACTTAATTACCGTTAAGAGAAATTAAAAATATTAAAAAATCAGAAGGGTGCTTTTGCAAATAAACCCCATTAGCCTACCTTGTGCAGCAAATATGTGAAAAGGTTATGATGCAGTTTACAGAATATACAAGTAACTTGATAGCCCATATTATGGTGATTTTTCTTGAGGTTAAAAAATACAACACACAATGTTGCTTTAAGCAGTAACTTTTTAGGTTTTAGTGCCGGGTTTCTGCAGGTTTATACCTTGGATTACTTATTTTTATTCACGACACAGCAGGGTATTAACACAGCCTAAATCATCACCTATGCCAGCTACTAAAAAGCATCAACAAAATTATACTCAGCAGTGATTTTAGTCCTTTTTTCTGTTTAAATATCCCTATGAAGTTAAAGCTTTGCTGAAGTGTTCATACATAACATGCAATTCAGTTTCTCCATAGATGAATTGAACATCAACATGCGTTTACGTTTTGTCTTGTTACATGAAATATTAGCCTTCGTATTAGAGCGCACATTTGGGGATCAGGCATGTAAACCCATGCGGTGGGCTTTGAATTGGACCACTGCTGCCCATGAGTCCCAGAGAAACCCCCGCCGGTAGAATATTGGGATTAACATCTCTTGGAGGCCGGGATTAAACACTGCTTTCTCAAGCCGCACACTCTCTTTGTTGAGACTATCCGAACTGAACTGCCGGAAACTAAGAAAGGAACAAACCTGAGCAGAGCTAGAATAAATTATAACCCCATATTAATTTTTTATGACAACATTTGTCAAATTCGGCAATTTTTCGTTAACAGAGCTTGAACAGAATTTTTGGATGTATCCTCCCACATTACAGTGAGCATCGGGTGGGTTTAAAAATAAGAATTACAAAACGGAAGGTATGAGCAAGGTCATTTAAATCCATGGTGTGTTATGTCACATAAGTTGGAGTAACTATGCATGAAGAAACTGAGTTTGGTCGCCAGTGAAACGGCAATTATTGGCCCAATTACCACCTGCAAAACTGCCTCCACTAGCCTATGTGAAAATATGCCACCTTGTTTTCATTAAATGCATGGATCTTTTTTTTTTATTTCCCCCCAAATATATATTTAAATAGTATTTTTAAAGTGAGGCCTGTCTAAAATAAAAATTAAAGTCATTATTATACGTTTTATTCGTTTTTAGGCTAGTATTGTTATTTCATTTGGCAAAATGTCAAATTTTTGGTGGAAGTGATTAAGAATATTCATGTAACTCAAATAAACCATCTGAAAAAAATACCCACGATTAGTTTTGCACACAGCACTGACACTGTTCATTCTCCATTTCCCACTCTCTCCACGCGCGCGCGCACACACACACACACACACACACACACAGATCGTCCCTTGATGAAAGAGTAAGCTCACAGGACCTTTATTCATGTCTTTTCAGCGGTGAGGTCACACCATCTTTGGAGCCAGTAAAGGATCCACAATCACCGTGTATTGAGATCAGTGGAGGGGGAGCAAGTGTGGAGCTCTCAGCAGCCGAGAGTCATTTCCAGTGTGGCTAACCCTTGATTTTATTACTACCATGTGCTTAGGAAAGTCTCGTCTCTCTTTGTGATGCCGGTCGTTTAACCATTAGCATCTTTCGTTGTTCAAAAAAAGTTAGAAATCTATTAAAATCACAGCAGAGTCTGATGCGAGGGGGGCTCACAAATTGCATACAATACAACAGATCACAGTTTCGAAGGCTAGCACAGATAAAAAAAAAACACATATGTACCATTTATATAAGACACACACTGATTGTCTCTTAGAAACTACATATTGATTCCTTATAAACACTTTTTTTTCTTAAATAAAGTAGTGCATCCATGTCCACACACCGTCCTCGTGTCTCTCTGCCAGCAGGTTGGCAAAGTTGTGTAAGAAGCTTAAAGGAGGTCTGTCCACCCCGAACACTTCACCAGCAGAATTAACAAGAGTTTTGTTCTTGGATAAACATTAGTTCCGTGGCTGTGGCGTTTATCTGTGTTGTCCTCAACAGGTGTTTTTTACGCATAGAGGCACACACTGACAGACATGGATAAGGGGCTACAACCTGTGAATGAACAGGGGGAAAGAATCTCGTTGCCAGTGGTAAAATAAATTAAACCTCTCCTCTTGGAGGACCAAAGACCATCATGCCAAAACCTCGAGGCCCCTGAGAGCCCTGCCTCGCCGAGCCCGGCTGACATTTGAACCAGTCCGATGTGTTTTGTTGAGGGATGGCAGCGCTGTGTCTGATGTGATCGTCACTGTTTGTGCACTTTTTTGACAGCTGATTGCTCTGTTCACAGGACCTGGAATTTCCACGAGGATGTTTGATCCTTATAATCCAAGCAATCGGCATTGAAGTTCAGCTTCCACGACGCCGCTTGGTCCTTATAATCCAAGCAGTCTGCAGTGGAGTTGAAGCCCAGGCCGGACGTCCCGTAGCCCTGGGTGGAGAGGGACGCCGGGGACTGGTTCAGATGGCTTGTGACCGCGTTTGTGCTCATCGGACTGAGAGTTGAACCAGGCCCTGACAACTGGTGGTGCATGGGAGTGAGGTAAGAGCCGCAGTCCATGCCGCCGAAGTAGGACGTCGAGCCGGCGTAGCCCTGGCTGTAGCTCGAGGCCTGGGTGTAGGTCATGGGATAGGACCTCTGCATGCAGGAGGAGGAGGTAGACAGGGGGTCTGAGAGCGGAGAGATGGACGCCGGGCTCCAAATGGACACCGGGGCGGTGCTGGTTGAGATGGCGGGAACTGTGGTGGTACTGGTTGGGGGCGTGAACTGACCGCTGGCCCCGCTCTCTGAGCTCACTTCTCTGGTTGGGGAACTTTTCTTTTTGGCTGGTCGCACTTTGTTCTGGCCCCCGTTCTGCTGCTGCTGCTGCTGCTGGCGACACTTTGCCCGCCGGTTCTTAAACCAAACCTGCAAGAGTCACATAGTCTATTGGTACATGCTAATTTTGATATCCCTTACTTATAGTGTTAATATAACCCAACATCTACGTTTCTGGAATATGACCTAGAGCTAGTTAAATATTTTCGCACTGTAAGTAATAGCCCCCTTTTTATCTAGTCCATGTGGAAAGAAGATTTATTTCATTTGTTTTGAAATCAAGATGTTTCTAGATTTTTTCTCAAGCCAAGTTTTTGGTACCAGTGGACTGATCGGTCTCATTTCATTGCTCAAATTCTCGAAACAGGAATCTGTCCTTAAGTGGAATTATCTCACCCCACTGGCAAAAGTTTTCCACTTGATTTCAGGCAGACAAAATGCTAAGCCTCAGATGTAGGCCTTCTGTCAGTCACGGGTTAAGATGAATGTTTCTCACAGTGCAGATATAAAATAGATTTAAAAAAAAAAAAAAAACATTTTCATTCGAGCCCCCCCAAATGAGATGTAAGCGTAGCCTACATAAACATTTTGTTTCACATTGTTAATTCATGCAGTTGCGATTTAATCATTCAAACGTGTTTGCATTTGTTTGGCAAAAGTGCCACTTTTGTTTCGGTGTCTTTTTTTTATACCTAAAATATTTATGCACATGGAATCATTTTCCAAATATTGTTAATGTTCTGGTTAACTCACTTGTACTCGGGACTCAGGTAGATTGATTTTCAGTGCCACCTCTTCGCGCATGAATATGTCCGGGTACCGAGTTTTGGCGAACAACGCCTCCAAAACGTCGAGCTGTGCGCGCGTAAAAGTAGTCCTCTCTCGCCTCTGCTTCCGTGGCGTTGCTGCAAGTAAAACGGAAATGTAAATCAATTAAATGATGTTACTCATGTATCCATTTAAAAAATCAACTAAAAAGATCAAGCATTCAAAGGCAGATCTATAACAGAATCATAGATTTTTGTTTTTGTGCGCAATTACGCACGAGTCATGTGAGACTTAAATGCCGATGGCAATTGTACCTTTTCACATACTTTAGTCTAATGTGATGCAGTTTAAGCAAAAATCAAAGCAATTTGTCAGTAACTCATTCAAAAGGCACATCTAAAATTAAATCATGCAATACCAGACTTCTGTTCCCTCCAAGTCGTTGGACGGTTTGGTTTGGTAAAATAGCCGATGTAATCTAATATGTTTGATTTCTGATTTATCTCCCCAAAAATGTAGAAGTTATTATCAGATGTAGACGTTTTGAAATAGGTCCTGTTCTTTCATTTATTTATTCTTCAAAAAGTTCAAACCTACCTGGATAGCCCACTGATGGATGCAAAAGATCCATTCCGGAAGTAGTTAAGCTGAGGCCATTGACTGTGTAAGGTGGTTGCTTTAGATACGACATCATGCTAATGTTTGTCTGAGGGCTGAAGTTGGAAAAAATTTTGAAAATGGATGGAGCTCTCGAGGTGTACTTGGTGTCCTCTGTTCGCCGTGTGGTCCGTGTTACACAGGGCACCTGTTCCAAAAACGACAAAAGAGAAGAAGACATCGATGAAGGTGCACCGTGTGAAGAGATATTAGGTCTGTTTACATGGCACTGTCGCGAAATAAGCCCTCTTCAAAACGCACGGCTCTCCTCAAAAAACACATCTCCAGCTGTCCTCAACTCTATACCCCCCCCCCCCCCTCTCTCTCTCTCACTCAACTCACTCACACTCACACACACACACACACACACACACACACACACACACACACAAAGTAATACACCGGCACTATAACTCCAACAAGGCACAATAAAATGTGATGTAGGAACTTTTTAAACTGCCCAAGCTGTTAAACTAAAGAAAGAAAAAAACAAACACACTCAACAAACCCCTAAAGTCTTTCTGCGCCTTTGGCTCTATTTTATTCTCTGTTTGGCTCTACCTTATCTAAAATTGTGGTTGTAGATATAAACAAAAACTAAGGGGAATTGAAAGAAGTCGAAGGCAGTGGGGAAGTAAAAGAAGAGACTGATTTGATGTCATGGATGTCTATGAAATACGTAGTCAACTTAAATAATCAGTTTTCAAACCTACTTCCTGATTTATGATGACCAACCTTTGAAATATTTTTCTCTGTCGTTAAGAAACTAATTAAAATGACTTTTTATATTTTACATGATTGGCCTGAATTTTCAATGCAATTTAATAAATCTCGTGTAATTAATAAAACACGAGATTATCTGATGCCGAGACGCTCAAATTCAGTAAAAACAAAAAAACCCGCCATATTAAACACGTAATTGTTTCAGTTATTTAAACAGAAATAAAAGTGCTCTGCGAAGTTGATTGGTAAATGTGTGATCGCTGTCACTACAACTGCAGTGACCCTCACCCGTCATCCCCACTGCGCGTCTTGATTAGTTGCATTTTTTTTTTCAATATCCAACGGTTTTAACCCCCTCATCCCAATCTGTCACACTTAAAACCGACCCGTCTACCAGTTGCACCCACCCGCTCAATAATAATCACCCTGTCCAAGAATTAATTATGATAAATGTTTTTCTGTTGATGAATTAACGAGATAATCCGAGTGGCATCTAAGTGGAGCTGCAGTTTGGCATCAAGTCAGTCCAACGTGCTCCAGGCTCGATGCTGCAAATCAGCAGCAGCTATAATAATTTCTTCTGCACATTTACGTAAATTAATTGTGATCTTGCTGTATATTTTAGTCTAACGCAGCACTTATATAAAAATATAAAATGGTTTTAACTACAGGGGAGAAATTAAATTCGTGGAAATGTACAGCTAATCGGGCTAAAATGCCAATTTAGACGCATAATCTGTCACTAGAACCTAAATAAATTAATCATGTGACCTGTTGGTTTATTGTCCTTCACAATATTCCTCTCTGGAGGCAGAGAGAAAAGGTCCCGACACATTTAGATCGATAAAAGGCCCAAATGTTCTTTCTCTTCACTGCAGCTTTCAGCCTCGCCTCTCCACAATAACCTATATCAATTTATTTTGCATTATTGCGTCTGTGAATTTACGGCGAGGACTCACTGTGCGATTTGACATAAATGTGGGTGTCCTTTTGAGCAGAAACTTCCCTGAGTGAACTCTGTGTCCTCGGTAGCAGCACTAGCTTCAGTCAATGAGAGTGTGAAATGGGTAAAAACATGACCTCACTTAATCATGCTATAATGAAAAAGGCAATTCTGGTATCAGAAAAGTTTTAATTTAGCTTTTGATCTGCCTTTGTTTCCATATGCAGATATGATCATGGTGTAGCCTAACTTCACCAGTTTGCTACTGTAATTACCGGATGCTCTGTGTGCATTTACATCATATACGATCAGATTGATGTTCATCTAAAAGGGTTTGATGACCAAACTCACACTTAGTGACTCTGTACTCTGCTCAAATAAATAATAGACTGAGTTTAAGTGTGGTCAGCCATCATCTGCAATTTGATGCCACTAAACAGCCTAAAACCCTCTGACTGGCATTTCTTTCAGTGTCTTAGTGGGTTTTATTTTAGCACCAGCAGCAGTGTTTAAACGTTGTATTCCTTCTTTTTTTTAATGATTTTATAAGCATTTTAAATTTGGTTTTAGAAAAGTTGTGATTTCCCATAGGCTTCTAATTTGTTATTAATTTTACTGTACTGCGATTCATTATTTCGATATAGGCTAATAATAATAATAGCCTATTAATAGTAATATAAATAGTATTATTAATAATAAAAGTTAAACTTACCCTGCTATCGACGACTGTAAAGTTCTTTGTCTGCTCGGTTTCCTCCAGGAGAAATAATAAAACTCAGTGCAGATTAAGGACGTCCTGGCGGATAAAAAAAAAACCGCAACCCACCGAAAGCAGGAGCAGCCGTCTTCAGAGACAGAACAACTGTGGGAATAAAAGTTAAAGATGGAGCGGCTGCTTCGGGTTTTGAATCGGTGCGAAGGCTGAGGAGTGATGGAGGAGGCTGCATGTACGCCTTTAGGATTTGTTGGTGTGTTGTGAGTGAAGTGGTTTGAGTTGGATTTTGTACAAACTGCCAGCCAATGAGAGCCGCAGGACTGAGCTGAGGTCTGTCTCTGTCTCCGTCTCTCACACCGGTGGGGAGGATGAGGGTTTTTTTTCCTCCCTTTTTTTTCTTTCTGGGAAACAAATGTCTCCAGCTACTTATTTGACGCACAGTCCTCAGCCAATGGCAGCGAGAGGGCGACTGACAACATCCCCATCCCACCGCAGAGAGGGTGCATTGATAATAAATAAACGCTATGCCGGTGGATGACGAGAAGTGGGTTTTAAACCAAGGAAAAGTCAGTTTAGTCACCTTTTTGTTACATTTTATATTTGGCATCCCCGTTATCCAGTGCATGCGTTAAACTGGGGAAAGTTGCATGAAGGCTGTGTTGGTGAGAGGGGAAATATATGCTCAAATAAAGCGTTTTCTGAAAATATAATGTATGTACAGTAGTGCTGTGAATACATACTCAAACGTGCATCATCATTGTCATTGAGTGCGCATCAAAGTCAACCAAAAATGTTGTTGTTTCTGTTTTTAAAATCAGAAATGAAAATAGTTCCAGACAATCGAGGAATATTAAAGCGCCTTAACACGAAATTGAAGACTTTATTGTATAAATAAAATGTAAGTTTCTAGTGTTCACATGTCTGTATGTTGTATAAAAGAGTTAAACATTGGAAAGAAAAATAAATCTGTGACAAAAAGACAGGAAGAAAAAAGGGCTCTCGTGTGAAGGCTGCACCGTCCTCTCACATTCCAGCGCGTCGCAAAAAAGGGGATTTAGAGGGACTTATTTTCTTAAAACTGTCCTCCCGTCCACAGAGCCAGCCAGTCTGCTCCCATCCGCCTCATACAGGCCTGCACCAAAATACACCCAGAATATCTGCAGGGGAGTTCCCACCGAGAGGAACCGAGCAGCCGAGGACTTACAGGCACCGGGACCTGCAGTGTATCTACACCCAGGGATCAGGAGAAATGACAGGGGAGAAGGCAGAGAAAGGCCGGCTGTGCAGTTGGAGACAAGCAGAGCTACTTTCTCTTATTTCACCTGACACATGTTCAGCAAAATGTGAAAGAACATAAAAGAGAAACGTGAAGAAGGTAGGCCTGTTTTATTTTAGATTTGATTTACAAGAAAGTGCATTTTTGAGGTTTTGTGTTGTAACATTGTTATCGTTTGTAATAATAATAATAATAATAATAATAATAATAATAATAATAATAATAATAATCACAAATGGTAATAACAATAATGCATTTTTTCATTTGTTGTTATCCATATAATAGCCATTTAGTTCAGGATTCGTCTTATTTCATATTTACTGGAGGACCCACAGGCTGCACGAGACAAATAAGCTTCCTCTATGTCACTTGAATTTTGAACCTGCGTGCCCATCTCAAAATAATATGCTGAGGGTTTTTGTCACGGCTTGGTAAATGTATCATCTTAAGAGGCTTTGTGGAACACCTACACACACTCACACACACTCACACACACACACACACACACACAGTCACACACACTGCGCGCTTGCACGGACACACCCGCTCACTTCAAACAGATTTGAATATTGATTTAGATTTATAAACACAGGCAGACCGTGGGTTTTATGAATCGTCATTTGCCTCTCTCTGTGACTCCAGTGGAAGGCCATGAGTCAAAGGTGCAGTGACAGCTGCTGGGGAAACTGGTTTTCACTCCGAGCTGCAGCCTGCTGGGGCTCACACAAACTGGTACACCATATCAACTTTACACAAACTCAGTGACATCTCTTTTGACAGATTTCGATCAGTGGAAGCGGATGAATGGATCATATCCCTGGATTTTATTTAACAGCTAAACATGAGATTTGATCTCAGCAGAGGAAAAGTTTTGCTGTGAGTCTGCCTGTTTGGAGGAGAGGAACTGCAACCCGTTCAGGTATCCCTGTTTGTTTGTTTTTTTTTACGTGTTTTTGTTTGTTTATTTATTCCGGATAGTACAGATGTATTTTGTCATCTATTAGAATGAAAAAAATGGAGTGAAATCACGTAGCCTAAACTCACTTATTTATGTTTTTATATTTTTCTGAAATAAATTCATGTAATATATCCAACCCGACAGCTTCAGACGGGTGTAAAGATTAAGCCTTGTGGATTTTTAATAACGTTGCTGTTTTGCTTTATGACAATCACAAAGGTCACCGTTTAGCCTTCCCACATTTTTACTGCAGCAGACTCCACCAGACTCCATCCACAAATCATCATATTTAGCATCATATAAGTTTAAATTACCAGAAGTGTAGCTCCTAAAAATGTTTTATATTCTTTTACTTTGACGCCACAACAGGTAGAGCCCACAAGACCAACTTTATAGTCTCAGAATGCAACAAAGGGACAATCAGCTTGCAATTAAAACCGCATTTAAAAAAAAAAGACTATTTCCTTATATTCTATCAGCTGCATGGTAATTTACTCTAACGGGAGACTTTGTAACTGCTGCAGTGGAAAATCATGACGTGTGATGCTGTTATCTGCTGGATCTCACCGTTTAAATAGCTAAATAATTTATTAAACTGTAAAGCCAGGCCCTCCACAGGGACTTTGTATCTTAAAAGGACGTTTAAAGGGAGAAGGAGTTAAACGCCTCTGGCGAGCAGCGCTCCCACTGACTCCCGGCTAATTGACGACGACGGCTTTTATCTCCGCCTCTGCTACACTCAACCTGAGGGTGAGGATTTCGCCAGGCCTCCAACCTGTGATTTCTACCAGTTAATGCGTAGCCTATACATATTTGCTAATACATTGGACAGGCCTGCTTGACCTTTGTTTGATAGCCTTAAAAAGAAAAATCTTATTATTATTGGATAATTACTTCTCTCCCTCCTCTGCGCCTTATCCAGGCATAAAAAGAAATAGGAAACAAATTATAGAATGTGTTTTGTAAAATAAAATAGTACAAATAAAACCACAACAGCATGAGGTTTTAATTAATTAATTTTTTTGCAAAATGATTGTGAGTTGTCTTAATAAAAAGCTGCATATTTACAGGCCTACATATAGCTACATCTTCTAACTATTTAGGCTTTCCTCTCCTCTGCTCTGCCATGTTCCCTCCTTGTTTGATATTCGCATGGCTGAAGATGAGGAATGTGTTGGTGGAATTCATTCTGAGCTTAAAAAAAGAGCCAGAAAAAAAGGGAATAAAATCCAATAAAGCCAATTCATATCGAAATGCTGATAATCTGTACTGTCAAGGAAAAGCTTTTCCCTCTGTGTCTGGGGTTTATGTCAATATTATGTTTTGACAATAAAAAAAGTATTTTGGTACCCAGTACTTTATCGTTTCCTTTTTCAACTTGGTTTATTGTTTACCCCTTATTTCCTTTTTTTAATTTAACACAGAAAGTTAGATCTGTACAACTTGCAAACACTTTAAAACTAATCTCTGTTTACAGAATCATATATCTCACTCATTATTTTGACAGAAAAATTAAAAAAGCTTTCATACAAATGTAGTGATAATGTTTTTTGTATTCATTACTATTTAATTTAGGGTCATGTGTATGTATAGCACTAAGCAAAGTTAGTGAGAAAAAAACGGGTGTCCCTATCCTCTTTTTAAAAAACCTGGATATAGAAGGTAATTATTGTGGATAGATATGCGGCATTTGTTTGGTTGTGAGTGTGTGGGTGACAGAAAGAGAGCGAGATGAACTGAAGTAGGATAATCACAAGCTGTATTTTAATTAGCCTGGCAGGTTTGATGGATACATTGCTGCCGCCGCCGCCCGCTGCTGCTGCTTTACGAAAAAAGGTGCTATGCGTAGTGAGCAAGGTGTCTAAACAGAGGGCTTTCTCCATGCTGTCCCCTTATCACAAAGGAGCTAAACCTTTGTGTAATGTAACATGTAACTGACCCTAGAGGTCATCAAAACACATTCAGTCTCCTCCCCAGGGATTAAAGGGGGAGAAACCCCATTAATTGTCAGTTTGGGAAGAGTTTACTGACACAGAGGCACACAGACAGATTCACCATGCAGGCAGCATTCTACATCTGGGATTTTATCTCTGCAATTATTCACAATGTAACAAGTTTTGGTTCAAAGTTTTGCTTAAAATGATTATAGGAAATGCTTATGCCGTTGAATGAGTCTGTATTCAAATTTTTTAAGGCTGTATTTCTGTAATGAAAAGGTGCACTGATCATGAAATTATGGGTTTATTTTCCGCACACATCTTCTCTGTGAATTCAAATATGGTGCCTCAGCAATGCCAAGACTATGTGTGTTTGCTCTTTCCATTAATATGACATGCCTTTTAATTAGTGCCATAATTGTTTGTGTTGTGTTTGTGCAGGAGTTCGCCAACAAACAAACGGATGCAATTAAACACACTCGCCGTCAGATCATCAATGAGGAGGCAAAGTCAAGACTGGTGGAAAAACCGACAAGGACAAATATAAGACGGGAGAAGACTCTGCTGCTTCAAGGTTAAACTTGAACTGTGCAAAGAGCTCGTCTTCACACAATCTAGATAGTTTTCTTCAAAGACACATCACTAGCTGTTTTTTTTTATAATAAATGTCCTCAGTTTACAACTTGATATAACTCTTAATTGATGTTATATTTTGATTTCATTGCTAAATAATTAAATCTGACGTATATAATATCATATCCCTGTTTCGTCTCTACCTCCACACTGTCTTGGAAGTAATTAAAAAAGTATTTGCAAATAAAGACTATCATTATCAGACCACCACCCTGCTCTCTTGCTCTGTCTCTTTCCACCTAGCCATATAGGCTTCTCCTCTGTGTGCTGAGGTGTCTGCGTGGCGTGGTAAAACCTGCCCTGCAGACCGGACCTCTCAAGTCTTCAAAGGAGGAAGAACTCAATGTGGGGGATTTGTTCAGGCTTATTTGGTAACCTAGGATTTGAATTGGATTCTGGGAGGCATTCATAACACATTTGAAAATGTTACATTGTGTGATTTTGTGTGTAATCCCCATAATAAATTTTAGAAATGGTCACAGCACTTGCACAACTGCGACTATTCATGATTTATCAAATGGTTTTCTTGTCTTGCCTCTTGGGGGTGAGGTGTGTGTTGCCGGCAGGGAATGGGACGATCTCAGTCGTTGGTTGGGAAAGCCGGTGAGGAGACGATTCTTCCGTTTTAACCTTTCTCTCAACGCTGTTTTGTTTATTTGACCTGAATATGTGATAGGGTCAGCCACTGTGCTTCCAGAGGGATTCTCTCAGACCCCCCAGCAGCACCGGAGCATTACAACCTCTAGTGGATTATACCACCCTGGGAGGACGCACACACACTCACTATAGGTACAGGTTATTAAGTGTATATTCTTTCAAATCCACAGTCATAGATTAATAAGATTTATTTTCTCCATCATGCCTTGTAAAGTGCTTGTACGTTGCATTAATACAGTTAAGTAGAAAACTATGTGGTTGTGTTATTTTATACTTTAATATGGAAGTCTAATGAGTCCCATTTTAAAGGCCGCCTCCAGAAATGTTTTATGACACATAAAATACTCTTTGAGTAATGATTTGTGTCTGCAAAAAAGTTCAATTCCCTTGTTATAAATTCCTAAAATTACATCTAGTCCTTCTCTAGCATTGAAAAATCCAGAATCTATGAATATGCTAATTTTCTTAATTTCAAAAGTTGAATTACTGGACATAAGATGTCTCCTACTTTACTGAAGAGTCCATTCTCAATGTTTGTTCCCTGGAGGTTTCAAGTTTTCACATTTATGTAACTTGTGTAAGTTGCATTTTAGACCGTGATTGACTTCTAGACTTGACACATCACAAAATCTTAAACTTACATTTAAGGCGAGTACAGAGAAACGTATCGCCTTTAGCGAACCAGTTTGAAAACAGCCTTCTAGTGTCAAACTCTGCACGTACATCATTCGAGTCAGCGAACATCATTATCGTGAAGTAACAATAAGTAAAACATCTTTTCGAGTGGAGGGGGGCTTTAAATATCAAGCCCCTTTGCCATCAAAATGAGTGGTGTCTGTTTGCAAAACCATAAAATAATTGTTGGCCAGGTGCTTTATTGAACTAGTAAAAAGAGTCCCAACCATGGTGTTTTAGATAGTCCTGAAGGAGAGAATAATGTGATCCAGCGGATTAACTTACTCTACGAACATGGTCCATCACATGGTTTGGTGGCTCCACTGCTTGGATTTCTTGTCTGGTGCATGAAACCCTCCCGCCTTAGTCTGATAAGAGCAAGAAAAATGTTGTGTGTGTGAATGTGTGTGCGTGTGTCTGTGTGTAAATCAGAGTTTGTGGCCTGTCCAAACCCCACTTTGCTTTGAATGACACTTTGGCGATGCCTCCAGTTCCCCACTTCGACTTCTCAAGCGTACCCCCTGTCAGTGCCAACTCTGCCAATTCCTCTCATGTCTTTAATATCTCTCTTTGGGCCCTTGGGTTTTGCCAGTGAAGGCTCCCCCATGACAGTTGGACATTGCCGTCACATTTGGGAGACAGCGGCGGGTGTTTGTAGCGTTCCCAGCCCCGGGCCTGTGGGGAATCTGTGATGGCTCGCCTGTCAGCCGGCCCCTCCCCTGTAATTAGGAGAGTAAACACAGCGCCTGGCTCAGCTTTTGGGGGGGGGGAGGAGTAGGAGGCAGAGGAGGAGGGGACTGTCCGGCTCCTGTCCTACTGCTACTGGAGCTGTCCAGGAGCAACTTTGGACTGACAGACTGTGATATGCACCCCATCGCTACTATGAAGGACTGAGATGTGGAGAAGAGTGAGGTCTGTTAACATGCTGAGAAACATCAGGTTTCCATTTGTACCTTGTTGAGCATCAGTGAACCAGTGAGGAGGCTTTTCATTGAACTGAACCTTTTTAGAGAAAATACAAAGAAATTGATCACTCAAGATGATCCGAGAGCTTTTCACAAATGTGATCTGAACATGTACAGTGAAGAGCATATTGATACGTTAAAGCTTGTACATAACGTGTTGTACATGAAATACCTGCAAGGTATTTCATGTACAACACGTTATGTCCAAGTAGAAGTCCAGCAGATAATATAAAGCAAAGCACCACTAAGCCTCCTCTGTTCACCTCTCTCCTGGTTGCTGGGGGAACTGGTCAGCGGCTGGAGGAATGTGTTGTGGGCTGGAGTTGTAGCTTGGGACCGGCTCAGGGGGAGCGCCATCCCACCCAAACCCAGCCACTCCACTCTGCCCAGGCAGGGAGGCTGGCTGTGGGAATGCCGAGACCAGGAGGGGAGGAATTTCACTGGAGGACCTGCCAGAGAAATGCCATGCGGGGAGCGATGAAGAGAGAAACCTAGATAGACAGAGGGGGGAGAGGATCTCAGCCAATTGAAACGCAGCCTGTAAGTGTCATTTTGGTTTTGTAGGATGCTTACTGATGATGGGCCAGTTGCTGAATGAGCTGATTGCCACACAGACACAGTGGCACCGCATCTGACTCAGATCTTCCTCAGATGGCTTGGCGTTCAGTGGGCCTAACTGAGGTAGCTTGAAGTAAAGGCAGTGTCTTTGAACATATTTTTGTTTTACAGGTAATCATCCATCTGTATTAACCACCATCTGTTCCTCCAGTACATGAGCATGATCACATGCACTAGTTTTTGTGTAAGTACATTTTAAATCAGATGGTGTGCATCAGTGTGTGCATGTGGTGTCCAGGGAGAGTACAAAGGGAGGGGTGCTTGAAGGCCCAATGTATTTGCCAAAGTCTTTACGGCGCCCACAGAGCCATGCTGCAGCATCATGGTCCACAGCATGGAAAGACATGGGGCAGATGGGTGCAGTGTAGCAGCACAACCTCCCCCTTCTCCTCCCAAATGTGAGGCAGCAGTGGTGGGAATGGCACAGTGTGAGAGGGAGCCTGGGTTCATGGCTGAAACAGAAAAGCTGTTGGAGGGGCATTTGGGGCTGGGAGAGAGTGGGGGCTGAAAGCTGTTGGGTGGGGGGGTTGTGGAGAAGTTGGTGGGGCAGGGATCCTGCATTGCAGAGGGACAGCCAGTCCCCCTGTCACATCCCTTTGAAATCCAAGTGCAGGGGCACGAGCCCAGGGAGGAGTGGCAGCGTGGCCCAGCGCCTGGGCAGACAGGCAGTCACCGCACTGGGCCACAGTCCAGCTCGCCTCGCCTGGCCCCTTCCCACCCCAGCCCACCCCGTCTGGCCCAGGCTTACGGGAGTCAGGCAGCCGACCCCCAGTGGACAGGCCGGAGCCCTACACTACTGATCCCATCTCAGAGCCTCTGCTGGGTTTGAAACAGCGGCAGCCTCCCCTGGTAGAGAGGCCCTGCGGAGATGGAGGGGGGTACCTCCGCTGCCTCACAGCTACTCCTACACCCAGGCCTCTGGATGGGGGCCCAGAGGAGTATGCATATGATGATAACCCCCACCTCACCACCAGGCCGTTCTGCCTTCAGGGCCTGCGCAGGTCCACACATCCCCATGGCAACAGTGGCAGGGCCGTCCACACAATGTGAGTGGGCAACAAGCCAATGCTGGGATGAGGGAAAGAAATTTTGGTAGAATGCTCAATCCTGAATCTCTTCACCTTTATTTTGTCTCTGGGTAATCGTGTTTTTGGCTCCAGTGATCTAATATCAGAGACATGGACTGCGTATTTGTACAGTGGTCAACACCAGCAGCAGCAGAGACAACCACACTTTCTTTTGTGAGCTTCTCCACCACTGCTCCATGTGCACTTAAATTCTTCCACCTCTCTTTAGGCTCTAAAATTGTCATTGTCAGTTTCTTGACAGCAGTGCCAGGCATTTATAAATCTAGACCCTCCGGCAGAATTGACCTGATACATTCTGAAGCATTCGTTGTGTTTAAAGAGACCTTGTCATGGCAATATTAAGCCTGCGTAAACACAAGTAGTTCAATGACATCCACAGCAGCCACCTAAAGTTGATTCCCCACCCACTCTAAGCCACTGGGAAGATACTGTATAAGTGGTTGGGTGGTGTTTACTGAAAGTGGATATCTGCTGTTTGTTTTGTTGTTCTGCTTTCCGACCGTAAACACTGCATAGATTTCCTTGAGTGGTGTTTGAAACGTGTATGTGTGTGTGCCATGTGTTATATTTGCTGATAACAGGATTTACTCAAATTGCGAATCACCAGTTGAGAAAGGTTAATTGTCAGTGCAACTGGTAGAATGGGTACATGCAATAATTATTAGTCTAAGTTGCTTTATTATTTAGGGACGCTAATTAGGCATTAACTGTGGTCCCCTTTTTGGATCACAACTTCAAATGCATGTCAAATTGCATTAAGTTCACTTTGACATGCATTTATCAAACTAAAGGAATGCTGTTTTGTAGATGTCCTTAGTGTGTTTATTATTATGAAACTGATCTGTTCTTGAGGTATTGATCAGAAAATTAGCAGAGGGATTTTCAGAAATTGCTCAGTGCAGTACATCCTCATTTTATTCGCTCTGAGGACAATACAGTTTATGATTGGTATGTTGTTGTTTTTTTGTTTTTTGGGGGGTGCCGGTGGTTTTAATGGTTTGGTAATTTAGGATTGCCTTAAGAAGGGTATTTGATACTTACACAAAAAAAAACACAAACACTTGAGCAGCGTATTCTCAGTTACTCCTCTCAAAAAATACAAGGTTTGGTCTATGTGCCACCCATGTGGATGAGGCTGGCATGAGTCTGGCACTAAGGTGAGGTTGAAAGTGACAAGGAAAGAAAGCAAGAGATCAAGGCGTGACTG